ATTAATGTCTCTTGGCAGTTACTTGCATGACTGAGAGGTCACTTGCACACAGCTACTGGTAAATTACAGCTGTTCCTGTGCTGTAATGCGTGTTTGGAGAATACAATAGTTCTACATTGTGGTTACAAGGGTATCTGTGTCTTTGGTTATGGTTAGCACTGCTACAGTCTGTAATAGATTGTCAAACTATAGATATCTATAGATAGAAAGCCTATGGGCATTTGACCCACTCATGTTGGACTACACATTTTGAAGGTTTGATGTTAGTGTTTTGGTTGCTGGCGTGCAGATTTCATGGAGCCAGAAGCTTATATGGAAGAAAAAGTGGAGTGCTAAGTCCAGGTAGCTTTGTGGAAAAGTTATTTTAAAAATTCAACCCCCTGTAAAGTTCTTATGAAGCAGGAAACCACCCACAGGCTGTAAACATGCTTGTTAATGCTCAAAAGTTAGGCGTTCTAACGGGAGCGTCTGTTGGGAGTTACTTGCTTTCTGGTGCCTCAAGTGGCCACTAGAGGACGTGCAGTCTTTCAGGAACTTCATTTTTAAGTTTCAGAGGCTGCCACTTGGTCATACCACTATTTGATCTCGTAGCCATCACTCACTGTATAGTTGGTACAACGTATCAGGAAGCAGAACCTGTTGTGTAATCTATTTTTATTGTTTTTATTGTTTCCCTTTCTTGGTCACTCATTCATTTGGAGCCTATCCCAGGGCAAGAAGCAGGGTACACCCTGGACAGGTCGCCAGTCTGTCACAGGCTGACACATAGACACAGTTACCAATTAACCTAGCCCCACTAACTGCATGTCTTTGGGAGGAAGCCGGAGTACCCGGAAAGACCCCATGCACACAGCTCCATATGTCCATTCTGGGAGTAGAGTAACTTCAGAAACTAACAGAGTAACTTTATATGATTTCCCTTTAAAAAAAAAAAAAACTTGACCCGCTTATCTTACACCAACCCTTTATGCAGTTCCTTAGTTCATCCACTATCTGAAACAAGCTGCTCATGCTCTTTAACCCCTCCCTCTCAAAAACCCACATTCTTCTGATTGTCCAGTTTCTGGAAGCTTACTGAGGGGCAGTATCCAGATTTATAAGCTTTGCTGTTTATATTTTGCAGGAATGTTGCGGCTGAATCAGATGATGACACAAGTATATTACTTGTATTTCTTATTATTTGAAAACCTTTAATGCAAACATACTGAAACGTGTTTTGCTTGTTTGCTGTAACAAATAATAGTGTTACTTTTCCTGTCAATTAATTACATTTCAAATGATTTTTAAATGATAGGTAATTGATACATTTTTTTAAGCAACTTCATAGATGGGGATGCCAGAAAAATAATTGTTCAATTTTGTTTAATAAGAAGACAGACAGCCAGTCCACAGGATAAAAATATAAGTGACATAAACAGGGGTGCACATAAGTGGTCCGCAGGTGCGCATTCACTGTCTATATAAAAGACGTGCACTAGATAAGACGTTGCAACGCACGTTTGCGTACATAAGATTTTCTGGAGGAGGACAGACCTTTGTTTAGAACTCCTAAAGATGTCGAAGAAGCTCCTTTAAGCAATTATTTTGGTGTTCCTCCACCTCCAAAGAAATGTCAGAAGGAGTCCGAACCGCAAAAGAAGCGCATATTCTCGGAAAAGTGGTTGGAGGAGGTGAGCTGGCTTCAAACAAATGATGAACGCACAGAGATGTGGTGCAGAATATGCCGTCTTTTATTTTGACACCGAATGCGCACCTGCGGACCACTTATGTGCACCCCTGGACATAAATATACTTATAATGAGAAAGTAATGCACTACCTCAACTGAGTGCAGGTATCTCAACCTACTGTGACAGTTTACTAAGTTCAAACAGTGACTTCAGCTAGGAGAGCTCTTGTTTATACTCCTGTCTTCCTCCACTCATCCTTTCCACTCCTTATCGTTTATTCCACAGTGTCTATGAGCTTTGTGACATTTAAATACTGAAGCAGGGCGTATCTCCAGGGATAATCTAAATGGAATATACACAGGCACTCCTAACTCCTAACACTGCAGCTTTACGCATGTGCTCTGCAAACATTTAACCTCTTTGCATCTCAAATGTCAACCTCTGTCTCATGCCTGTGTGGAGCAACCAAAATCAAATTCATTGCAGGGAGCTGAAGAGGAAAACCCAGTCAGACGACTGTCTGCAGTAAACATTATCTTAACTGGCTGCAAATAGGATCTTTGTGTCGCTGGTCAATCCAGGCTTGGATGTTCCGATTTAAGTGGCTCTGTGTGTGTAGAGGAGATGTGGTAGCACTTTAATGTCCAAATCTCTTCTCTACATTTTTATCACCCCTCTTCTCCTGTGGACTTATTTACGACTCATGCTTCTATGACACTACATATATTGCTCATTAATACAAGCAAGCTTGACAGTGAGTCTATTTCCTCACAGTATTCCCAGACAGTGGAGTATTTGTGATGACACGCCGCTGTGTATTGTTGATCATGGTAGTGTGAGTTTGAAAAGCTGGGTGACAATGGCACTTAGCTTTATAGCACCACTGTTTATATTTGGTTTACCTTCTCACAACTAAATGACTGTAACAACAGTGACGGTGACTTTGCACCCACAGCCAATTGCCCACATCTAACCCTAATGCTGCTGAAGATCACAACAGATCACATTTCACACATTTGAAAAACAAAAATAAGATGTCTGATATTCTTATATCAACCTGGCATCGCTCACTGTGACTCACACCGAGTTTACAGTACGATGTGATTTTCTTCCCCACATTTTCAGGCAGCTATGAGCTTTGCTAATGTTTTAGATCCATCACTTCTTCTCTGGACCACAGTGTGGGTCACAGTGCAAAAGTACAAGCACCCAATAGGACAGCTATGCCATCTAGTGGTAAGAAACCCACATTTCTAAAGCACAGTGATTTTTCAACCTGGTTTATCCAAACAAAACAAGTTTAATACACAAAATTAAAAAATGGACATTTGCTGCTGTCAGAAATATTATAAAATATCTTTGATAAAATCAGATAATTTTCGCTTTGAATTCACTAATGTCCCATCTAAATGTCTCATCTAGGGAGGGAAAAGAAAATCTGCTACCTTGTTCATCTTCAAATAACATTTTTTAAACCTTTAAAAGATGTTGATATTTGAGCCTAAATTAAGACCTTCAATTTAAATTTAAAAAAGGAGTTTTCAAGAGATTGAGGGAGGGGTACTTTTAGATGTTTGCATCATTTTTGAGGGGTTATTTCAAAATGTGATTATGTTATTTATTTTTTTAATTGTTTAGAAGTTGGATGTGTGTGTGTGTGTGTGTGTGTGTGTGTGTGCGTGTGTGTGTGTGTGTGTGTGTGTGTGTGTGTGTGTGTGAGGGGGGGTATCTTCAAGTGTCACTGTCTCTAAAATGTTCAGTTTGATGAATAAACTATACATTCAGATATCAACACCCTACCAGCAAAACTGTGGTTTCTCCAGGCCTTCAAATCAGCTCTCGTTCTTTGTTGTTACATCATGAGGCCATATTCACAGAGTCACAGTACCAAAACTTATAACTATATACCTTTTCTAGATTTTAAAATGCCCTTAAAAATGAAATAAATAAAAAAAAATAAAAGTAAATATTCAGCTCTTAGTCCAAGAGCACTTTTGGGATGTTTAGGACATTCAATCGACTAGCAGAGGAATTACCTTTCATTTGTACTGTTATTCACAAAACCATTACCGTTCTGTCTCTGAGATACCCCGAGCAACATTGATAGATACCCTTTTAGCCAAAGATGCTAGTCTCAAAAGCACTATGACAAGGATCTGCAATACACTAGCTCCCAAGTAGGCTTTGAATACAGTTCTAGAACAAGAAACAAGGAACTGTATCTCTACTTTTAAGATCAGGCTTGAAACTTTCCTTTTTTGCTAAAGCTTGTTGTTAGTGCTGGATCAGGAAACCCTGAATCCTCCCTTAGTTATGCTGCAATAGGTGTAGGTTGCTGGGAGATTCCCATGATGCATCCTATGAGTATTTCTTCCTCAGTTACATTTATTACCCACTATGTGTTAGCAGACCTCTCTACACTGAATCACACTTGTTATCAATCTCTGGCTCTCGTCCACAGCATGTCTTTTATCCTGTCCTTCTCTCTCCCCAACCAGTTGCAGCAGATGGCCCCGCCCCTCCCTGAGCCTTGTTCTGCCAGAGGTTTCTTCCTGTTAAAAGGGAGTTTTTCCTTCCCACTGTCGCCAAAGTTTTTTACAGGGTTTTTCCCTGTATGTGTTATTGTAGGGTCTACCTTACAATATAAAGCACCTTGAGACGACTGTTGTTGTGATTTGAACTGAACTGAACTGAAAATTGAATTGAATTGAATCCACCTTACCAAACCAAAACATTTACCCCAGCATTTAGCCCACTCAAGTCCAGTGCAAACGTATGTTTTGGACTTGTTTTCAGTTTAAATGTATTATTTTAGTATCAAACATGCATAACATAGAGACCTAATAAGAGTTCAAAACCTTAAGGTAAAGAAGATCAAATTCACTTATATATGTGTAACTAGTAAACAATGCTCTCTGTGCAATCTGCTGCTATCACAATTCCAACTTAATCCAAATAATCTTTTCCCCTTTATCAGATCTGTGAGGTTTTTGGCTTATTATTGATCATGTTACATGTTTAGTTACTTGTTAATTCTTAACAGTAATGGTTTGTTTTAAATGATTTTTCGGTTAGAGTTCATCTTCTCAACAATTTATTATCTTGTATTCAACTGCTAGGATACTTCAGAGAAAGTCCTGAGCAGTTTGACATTTATTTCAAGGTAAATTTATGAGGCAGTTCCCTACAAAGACAAAAAAACAAACAAATAACCAAAAATAAAACCCATCTAGTAGCATCACACTGCAGAGCACAAGTTTGATTCCACGATTAAGCCCTATTTCATCTCTGTTGTACTCACTCATACGCTTCTTCCTTGTGTGTCCCCGCAGGCGGAACAGGAGAGAAGGATCGGGCACCCATCAGCCATGAATCCTTCCTGCTCATGGCAAACTCCCAGAGCGATATGGACGACTGGGTCAAGGCCATACGGCGGGTCATCTGGGCACCATTTGGAGGAGGTAAAGCCAAACCTTTGAACTGAAACACAAAAAAACATATTAGGCCACCAATCAGTAGCAACTAAAAATCCATATTTCTCTAAGGAAAATATACAAACATAAAAGCCAAGCTAACACTGCTTTTGTTCATCATCTTTGTGTAAAAGAAAGATATATTATTCATATTTCTTTGCCAGCAATAATTCAAGGCGTGCCTTCCAGTGCAGGAGATTTCCTCTCTGCCTTATAAGCTCAACACATCGCCCAAAATATTTGAAACTTGCTCTTTCTGCTAGAATAGAAAAGACTGCAGTCCACATCTCTGCTCTGTCTTTAATGTTTAGGTAACACACTTGAGCTGAGCTATGCAAACTATCTCCAACCCCAACTCTGTCTCATTTCTTTAGCCTGCAGGTAATTCTCACCCTGTCTGCTTGGGATGTCTAACTAGTGTAACGTGACATAAGGCCAGAAATATATTATGATGTGGGGCATAAGGAGCAGCTGAGCGGGAAGGTGTTGGGTTACAAAGCAGCTCTATATTAACAGGGGGATAAATGTAGAATAACACATAAATAATATACTGTATGATATCATTAATCTAATTTTAATCCTTGTCTTTAGTAAAGCATGTTTAAGAGCTGCTGGCAACTAGCAGACCTATTCTTTATGAAAATGAGTCATTTATCTTCGTTTATTCCCTCAATTTTAGAAAATAAAAACACTCAAAAAAAGAAGTTCTGTAAGCTTGGCTGATGGAAAAATAAGGGAAGATCTTTGACAAGCATGACTAGCTTAAATGTCCACACAAGTAACACAAATAACAGACGTTTATAAATAGCTAGCATAGGCCTAATTAATTAAGAAAAAGTTGCAATACCACAATGCTATGCACGGAGGTTAGCACTGCTCTCACAAAACAAGAAGTTTTAAATGTGGGCTTGAATCCACTGGCTTGCTGGGGTCTTTCTGTGTGGAGTTTTCATCTTCACCCTGCGTCTGTGTGGGTTCTCTCCAGCTTACTTCTACAATCCAAAGACATCCAGTTAGTAATTGAAAGGTCCCAAATTACCATTAAGTGTGAATGTGAGTGTAACGTATTTGTGTCTGTGTTAGCCCCGTCCTGACCTGTCCAGGGTGTACCCTATAACTCCCCACATGGTAGCTGGGATTGGCTTCAGCCCCCACCCCCTCAATTTGGATAATAGAAGAAAATGGATAGATAGATTTTATACTTTGTACATGAAGAAATGAGAGTAAAGAGTCCTGGGTCATCTTTCCAGTCACACTAATGTTTATCGTTTTGGACAATGACAGCATTTCTCACTATCTGAACTTTTTTAATACCCCCAAAAAGATTGGAAAAATAATAATTCATTTTAATCTTGTATTAAATATGTGCTAGTTTTTTGTCTATGCTAGCTTTTTATTAAAACGCTAGCATTTTGTGCTAGCAACTGATAAAATTCTAACAGCATTTTTGTCTAGCTTTCTGTTAACTTTTGTGAAATGCTAGCTTTTTGTGCTGCTAGGACAAAAAGCTAGCATGTTTTTTTTCTAGATTTTTGACCGTTGAAAAGATGGCAAAAAATGCTAGCTTAGGTCTTCGAAAGGAAAAAAAACTAAAGCACCTTTAAAAAGGGTTTGTTTTTTTTT